ATCTACAATACCTACATATATACAAATCTAAAGTTATAACTTGAAATATTGTGCATTTTAGAATATTTGTTAACATAGTAATAGCAATTTTCAATATGAAATTGATAAAATATTTCAATTTATTTTCAAAATTGATTTTTATTTTAAGTAGCGGAAATAGAAATAGCGGAAAAATGTTTTTATTTTGTTGTCCTTGCACAAAATTTTGAACAATCAAAGTAAAAAATCAGGAAAATTTATACAATATATTTTAAGTATTATAGGAGGATTCGCTCTGATGGGAAATAAAATATGTATGTATTTATGTGTGTTGTCTCAATCAAATGTTTAATAAATGTCATTATTGAAAAATGTTTCGTCAATGTGCTGTTTTTTTTTTTGGTGTAATTTGAAAATCTGTGCTTTTTAAATTGGCTTTGGTATTTTAGTTGTCTGAATGTTTATTTTGTTTTCATGTTGTTTATCGTATCTAAGTATGTTATACATAAGAACTTTAAAAATTATTGAAACGAAAGAATTTAGATTGTGTCTTTCATTTAAAAAAAATATTTAATAAATTAGTTAAAATATAAATACTTTGTTCCTTATAGTTACACATTGTATCCTTGAATTAGAATGTATTACCCTAGAAGTATGCAAAATTTTAGTCATCAAAGAAAAGTTACAGATCTGTCTTTTTTGAAAATAATGTACGGAATTTCTAAAAACTAAAATCTATTTCATACAAAATTTTTCACAAATTTAAAAAAAACTTTAAAATAATCATGCACCTTTCATATAATTCCTCATAGAAAACATGTTCTGCCGTACCGTAAAAAAAATAGCAAAATAGTTTTGAATTGTTTTTCCCAAAATCGGGTTTCTGATAAACAGAGCTTTCCGTTCTTGAGTTAAAGATTTACAAAAGTTTCGAAAAGCTCAAACGTATATGTGTCTATTCTTAGAACATGGAAATATTTAACAAAATTTTTACATATAATGTAAAATGAATTAAAAGAAGCAGCACAGTCCATGAAAAATGATTGTTACTGTAGTCTAAATTTTGATTTATACGATAAACATATTTGATCATATACGATAAACACAAATATTTTACAAACAATTTATAGTTTGTGATCGATTCTGCAAAATGTAAGAGTGGGACCCGAGTCTTCACTCATCTTTAGAGCAGTTATGTTCGTACTATTGCAATAAACATCAGTATTAACAGATTTGTAAAATTGGGGTTTCATTTTTATTTGACCAATTTTAACTTCTTTGCGACCTTTTAAGAAAATGAAAAATTTTGAAAAAAACTTAATTTTATGAGACCTTATAATACAAAAATAAAATAGAGTAAGAGATAACGTAAAGAACACATTTTCAACTTCCGGAACAAGTCAATAAATAAACTTGTGCCTATTTAACCCCCCTATATAATATGCTTAATATTTTTCTATTCATAAATAAAACATAAATGTTACCAATCTGTGAAATTGCTCTTGTCGTGAAAATGCACGTGACATGAAATTCAAATGAACAATTTGATTATGTATGTACCTTGGTATGATTGAAAAATTAAATTATATTTTCATTTTTCTTCTTTTCCCATATCCACCAAACATTTTTGGTGAGCATTTTTTTATTTTGAATATGAAAAAAATATTTTATTTACTAGAATGCTAAAAATTAAGAAGAAAAAATCTCTGTATAAAATGGGAGTATGAATACAATCTCATATGGGTACAAATTCAAAAAAAGTAAAGAAATGAAACAGAAAATATTCCAAAAAAAAGTCATCAATCACTGTGTTGTGATGAAAACCCGAAGGATATTAAGAGTTTTGAATGTTTTGTTGTTATTTTTAGTTGTTTTTTATTTAGTAAACAAAATGTAACAAAATGATGGAGAATATTTTTTGTCTGTCAGATTCTAGTTTCTAGTTAATTTTCATATTTGGAAATAAGCTAAATATTAAAATAAAGAAGAAGAAATATTTCTTATACCTCAAGCATTTAGTATAACAAAATAAAAGTCACTTAGCCAACAAAAGTGGCTATCAGTTAGTGTAACTAAAATTGTCATCACTTATGAACGGAAAGGGAAGAGAAAGGGAAAGGAAAAACGAAGAAAAAAAATAGTATTGGTATCAATTTAATATTAACAAGTCAATCAAAAATTTTAACATTTAAAACCGAACGTATACGACTACTGTACGGCGACATAATGGAAAGCGTCACATAAATTAAGAATAAATAAAACAAAATCAATGCTACCGTAGAGTCTGATCCTCTACTCTCTCCCTTATATTCGTACAAAGAACATACGAATACAAATTAATTTCGCACAACATACAAGTCGTTGTCTAATGCATCTTATAGTCCGTTTCGTACTAAGACGGGGAATTTTATGAGAAGTTTATTTGAGAGAACTTAAATAAGACAAATTAAATTAGAGAGCGAAATCAGAATTGAAATTCTCACATTTCAACCATACATTCTTATTCTATGGAAAAGAGAAACTTTAAAGTAGTTGGATGCATTTATATTTTTTTGTAATGAGAATAAGTGTGAAATTTTTAAAATTTACAGTTCCAATCTCAGTTTAAGTTCTTGTTTATTAAAACATTCATTTAAACGGCTCCTCTCAATTATACATTCAATCTACTCATTTCAAGTAATTTCTCGATTTCATTCTCTCAAAATTTTTAAAGTTTTTAACATTCATACGAAACTGCCACCTTGTGGAACTTTTTTGAATATATTTCTGTTCACTAGATATTTTTAATATTTTAATTATTATTATTCCAATCAATTAAATACTTATATATAAAATCAAATATCCGTTAATTAAAGGCAATTCAATTTGTTAAATTAAATTTTATCGCTATAATATTTTATTTTTGGTTGTTACCGTTTTATGTGTTTTCTTTTGCTTTGAACCAAAACAGGTACAAAATGTACCTGATATTGTGATGCTTTTTTTTTTTGTTTAAATTTAGGTTAGAACATCATAACGTTAATTGGTTACCTTGAGATTTGTTATTATAAATTAAAATATGTATGTACAAATAAAATATTATGTATGTACAAGAGGCACAAGCACAATTTCTCTAGTATACGCATTCCAATGATTTTGCATAGGTATATAGAGGAAAAAATGTAGAATGAAATTCATAAATCATGTCGTTGTATGTGTTGTGTTAGTCATTGTGTTGTTTACGTTAATTTTATAGATACCTACATACATAGAACACTAAATTAATGTTATACGGGTACGTACGTAGCAAAAATTTAAGAACATAAAAAAAAAACGAAAAATGACAATAAATTACCGTTATTCTGTTATAACGTTAATGCCGATTTTTTATTTCCAAATTCGTTTCTCTTTCTCTCTCTATCTTTCTTTTTTTAAAGTATTTCAAAATACTTTAAATGCTAGCAGAGCTAGAGTATGTATTTAATGTCTTTTTAAATAGTCATTTGCAAGTAATGTTGTTACATATTACACATATATACATATACGTATTTTATGTGCAAAAAAAATCCTTAATAGGACAATACTTGAGGGAGATACCATAAATAATAGTAGGTACCGCAAAAAAGTAAAATTAAACAAAATAAAAATAAAAAAAGTAAGAAGAAAAGAAAAAAGGAATTTTCACACTCAATTAAGAGTGTGCCTACTTAAATTTCTTTTTTTTTTTTTGGTAGCGAACCCTATTAAATTTTTTTTACAAAGGAGTTTGTATATGCCAAGAAGGAAGTTGTCATATTTTTTTAGTGAAGAAAAAAATTTTTCTTAATCACTTGTTAAGTGAAAAAATTTGTTAAAATTTTGTCTTTCTTTTTAACATTAGCCTAACATTTTTAGTTTGAAAGTGTATGAAATATGAAATTAATATTTTAAATTAACATTTAAGATGGTTAATTTTCAGAGAGTTTTAGCAATGGATTAATCTTAAAATGAATAAAGAATGGCACATAATTTTCGAAATTTTGGAAAGTTTTCTTAAATTTTTGGAGTCCCTCTTCTAGGTTTTTTGGAGTGCTTTTAGAAAAATTTGAAATGATCATGAAATTATATATTCATAGGTTTTTCATAGCATATGTAGGGTTTAAGCATTATAATAGGAAAATTTTTAAAATTTAAATGACACCTGCCGGTCTAGTTAAGTATTTTTGTACTGTATTCCTACAGAAGATAGATGACCAGTAAATATTTTTTGGTAACCATAATCATTATTGTAAAATATTTTGTCATTAAAAAGTATTTTAAGTATCATAAAATGGCGTACTGTATAATAATTATTATTTTGGGTAGTACGATAAGTGAATGATAAATTTGAGAAGAAAGGAATTTTAAGGAAGGACATTGTACCTAAACTTAAGTCGGCGTTTTGTAAAATATTTTGAAATACATTATGTGGTATAATTGTAAGAGATAGATTCTTTTCAAATGAATATTTAATTTTCTCCAAATTGAGTTCTTTCTATGGATGTTGAGTTCTTACAGGAATAACTACAGAAATTATTACTAAATTTTGAACAGATATATGCGCAGTGTTATTTTATTGTGCTTTAATTTCGTACTAAATTTTCATTTAACTTTTTACTAAATTTGTATTAATTTGGCTCAATATCTTTTTATAATTACCATACAGGTGGAAGGCATATTCTTTTAGAATTTACAAGTTAGCTGGCCTTTTAATTTATTTAATTTGAAAAGAGAAGGGGAAGATGTCAAAAGTACAAAGAGAAGTTACGAAATTATCATACAGATAATGTATGATGCTTTAAAGTTAACAGTTAACAGAATAATGTAAAAATCTTAAATATTTTAATTTATTAACTTGGCTACGCTCTTAATGTAAATTGATGTTCGAATTTTCGGTGTTCACAAGCACAAATTTATGTAAAAATTTTACAATCCAAACTAAACGTATTAACTATTTTTTACCATAATTAAATATAACAATATTATATGTACTAGTAAATAAATAATAAAAAATTAAAACTTACCGCGGCCACATTTATCGATATGATTTGTAATTGGGTAATCTTCAGTGCAACGGCATGTTTTTTTCTTTGAATCACATATTGATCCAGGAAATCCACATTGTAAAGTATTTTCGCATTTGTCGCCAAAATACTTTTGTCCTCGACTTGCATAATCTAAAAAGAAAAATAATAAAATTAATATTTTTTAAAGAAAGATTTAAAACATAAAAAATAAATAAAACTTAAAATTTCTGAATATTGCCAGTTTTCGAATACAATAAAATTAAAACACTCTATTATGCCTTTGTACACATTGTGTATTTTAATTTTGGTAGATATTTTTACAAGGTTTATTTTCTTCCACACAATTTAATAAATTAAACTTGGCACAAAAGATGAATGGTATTGAAATCATTTTTCTTTGTAAACATATGTTTGTAATAATATTTTAAGGCCATATTGACTTTATAGGTATCTTGCGCTTTGTTATTTTAAAAGCTAGTTTCCATTTAAGTAAAGGTATTGCGGTAAAAGGTTAAAAATATAGGGTTGTTTTATGTAAGTACAGTTTCAGATTAGAGTGAATTGAATTGCTAAAATATTTAATATTGAATTTGTAGAATAGTAATATCATTATTGGGGGTACAAGGCCGGTTTTAAATCGCATGGCATGATATAAGTTTACTCATTAACTGGAATAAATTGAACGATTTGAATTTTTTGCGGAAATTTGCACTTTCTTTGTGAAAATTCACTATAATTTGATCAAGATGACAGTATTCAAATTTAAAAACTTTTTACGGTTTTCTTTATATTTTTTAACATTGATATTTTTAATTCCATGTATAGATGTTCCCAACGCAACTAATACGATTTATAAAGATATTTAAGGTCATAAGTTATATTCCGATACTATTAAGTAGGTTTTTGTGGCGTTTCTAATTATTGTCTTACGAGTAAAACATCTAAGTATTATACTTAGCATACGGATAGGCTGAAAGTGTTCTTCAGCATACTCTGTCGGGAAATGGACAAGAAGAGACCATTGTTCACTATCTCTGCGGGTGTCAAGCACTGAGCGGTGCACAGACGTGTCACGTAGGACAAAGACTAGATTAAGATAGATTAAGATCTTCGAGGATTAGATAGCTTCCTCAAGAGAAACGGGTGGTTTAGATAGGCCACGAACTGTAATCGTACGTTCAATGACGGCCTGGTGATCATGGGGTAGTGGTAGCAAAACGGCGCATTTGTGCTAATTGGAGTGTCGTATTCCTGCTGAACCGGCCACGTTAACCAACCAACCAATAATAACTATATATCTATAATTATTTTTTTAATGAAAAATGAATTTCCTTCTTATTGGTAACTCCCAAATTGCTAAAATTATTTGCAAATGTTTATGGCTTAAAATTATAAAAATTGTTCCTAAAAGATTTAAGCACCAAAAAGAGGTCTTTTACAATTAACAAATAATGGTTTTATTAATCAATCATATTAATCAAACAAGGAACATATTCCAAGATTGAACCTATGACACCTGAGATTTGAAAAAATTCCTTAAATTTTATTTTTTAGGTCCTTCATTTTAATAAAATTATTTCAATAAAAGAAAATTCATTTAGAATAGCTGGGGTTTTCAACTTTTGCAAGTCTAAAATGAACTTTAAAACTTGTTTATCACTTGTCTCGTAGTTCAAAATTCAACAAAGAAGAAGCTACCTATACGAAAGGTAAACAAATAAATCAGATAAAGAACTTTTTTTACAAAATGGAGAACTCAAGAGAAATGAAAATAAAACATAACTTTATTCTTAAAATTATCCTTTAATATTAATAAAAATACAAAGAAAAAAAAACAAACGAAAAAAAATGAAAAAATCATTTTTTTTCCACACCACTGATTTTTCACACATAATTTTAAAAATTTTACCAGATAAATTCCGTATGTGTTGGGTATAAGCTCCTTTGAAACATACGAGTATGTAGCGATGCATGTAAAATTCTTTTATTGTGTATTTTTAGTTAAAACCCCTTAATTCTTCAGAAATCCCCTGCATTCTTTGTTGAAAGTGTACAAAAAGAACAAGAACAAAATAAATTTTCAAAGAGTTCATCGTATTTTGATTTACGATATGACAACAACGGTAACTTTTGTTTTTCTATTAATTTAATTTTTATTTTTCTAATTTTTTTTCAAGAAAAGGTTCATTGCTTTTATTTTTTTTATTTAATTTTTGATGGTTAGATAACCTTGTTACAAGTATAATGTAAACATTTTGTGTATAGCAAAAGAAAATCGTAGTTGTAGTTTTGTTTAATATTGCGTTATATATTTGGATAAAGGTTGCTGTCATGTAAATATTTTATAAAACATGAAAGTTTGAAAAAATTTTAAAATATTTAATAGAAATAGTTTAGTTAAGCTTAGAGGATTTATGTTTGAGTGGAGTCAGGAGAAATCAATGAGTTAGGTTAACTTATTTATGTTAAAATCTGTGGAATTGTGATGTCATTCTGCTTTGCATATATTCTCCTTTTGCATAAAATATAATTCGCGTGCTTAGGAATGTACGAAATATTAAAAATTTTTTCAAATTATCCTTTGCAACTTTAGGGTTAATTAACGGAATATTAACAAAAATGCGAATAATTGTTTTAACCTTTTGACATAATGTAAATGAGGTCAAAATGTCGTTAGCAGATGCGTTTATACAAAACAAAAATGTCGGTTATTACTATAAGATGGATGTCACTTACTGTCGGTATTACTATCAACCTTAAATTTTTGAAAGCAATTGTAATCAAATCAAGAATTTTTCCTTATAATTTATTTTGCCCTCAGAAATTTGTATAACCAAATTTTGTCTCAGAAAAAACTAAATAACTCGATTCAAAATAATGAGTATTTAACGTATACAACAAATGCATTTTACATATTGATACATACATATATGCCAAAATTTTGATAGCAGATAATCTAGTTTATTGTTCTAAACTCTAATGCCATTTTGAAATCCAAAAAAAAATGAAAATCTGCTGATTGTGGTAAATTTTTTTAAAAAATTTAGTATGTTCTTTACTGTTTTTAAAAATTTGATAGAAAATCTGATGACAATCGGGTTAATCCTATAATTTTCGATGTTTCCTATTAGATTCAATTTGTGGTGAGAACCTAATTTTCATTTTATTAAGATGAAATCTAGAATTTAATCTTATATGATGAAAATTAAATATTTGCTATTATTACTGCTTTAAATACATGATAGCTACAAATTGGCAATGTTAACAATCATTAAAACCGAGCATACTATTTCATTTTTATATTAAAAATTTTTTTATTGCCACAACGTTATGTTAATATTTCACATATTGTACTAAATAACTCATATGTTGTCAAAATGGACTAAAATAAAAGAAAAACTATTTAAATATTTATGCAGCCGAGTATTTGTACATAAATAAAATGTTATGTGCTTTGACACAAATGTATGTTGACGTAAATATTCATTTGAATTAATGTTTTATTATAGTTTTGTTTCTAAAAATATTCAAGAATATTTCCATATGGTTGTGTACACAATAAGTGATGCCTGGTGGTTGTAACCTTTAAAAGCTATACACGATTTAAATGATACTTAATACGCGCTATTGAATTTCTTGACGTCTTCTTCTTCTTTTAATTTGTTTTAGTTCTCTTGTCATTGTTTATTTATTTATATAAATTTATTTTAGGTATTTACAATTCAAATGAAAAAAGATCATGATGTCAAAACAATAAAAAAAGGAATGTACTAAAGAGTGTGAATTATAAAAGTTATAAAAAAGGTATGGAAAAGAGAAGGAAGAAGTTACATTTGAAAATGAGAAAGAGAAAAGTGGATTTTAATTGTAACTCTACAAATCATAAGAGTGAGGATAACATGTTTTTAAGATATAGTAAGAGTAGTGTTTCTTTACTTTGCGTAATAAAAGCGCATTTGGGAGTAAAAAGCTAAAAACAATTGGAACTAGAACTATGCATATTGTTTATACAAATGTGTACAATCTAAATAACACTTTGGGGAAGAACAATTTTTTCCATATACTACGCATAAAATTTATTTTTCAGTCATTGCATTTAGGGTTTATTTGTATTTTTTATAATAAAATCTGAAGATGTTTGAAATATTTTAAGTTTGAGGTGGCTGGTTGATAATAGATCCTTCACAATCTACTTAATGTATTAAGTATTTTAATATTTATAAAAAATATTTAAAATTTTCTTCTAAATTTTTTATTAAAATTATTCAAATTTTTTAATTTTGCATTCAAGTCATTTAATTTTAACTAAAATTTTTAAATTCAATAAAAATACTAAATAAAAAATGACATTCTAATGTTCAAAATTATTTGAAGTATAATGTGTAAGAATTTATTTTCAAATTCGAGTAATTTACATTGTCTTTTATAACTATGTAATATTAAATGTACTATCTATGTAAAAGATTCTATAGTATCCTCTATAGCACACTCCTATAAGAGAACAATTAATTTATTAATTTATTGTGTGACAACTTCGAGTCGCAAAATGAGGAAATTTTAATGAAAAATATTTATAAGATCTAAAAAAAAATTTACCTCAAATTAATTTTAGTTGCGGTTTACCTATATCATTAAAAGTTTTGATATTAAATTATACAATTTGAAAAGGGTTACTTTTGATTGACAAGTTGTGGTTATAATTTTCCTTTAAATTTTTTGAATTAAATTTTAAAATAGTGAGTAAAGTAATAGGAATGAAAAATTTCTAATTTATTAATTATTTTGCGTTTAAAAAGATACTCGTATTAAGCAAATTTTTTTTTAAAAAAATTCTCTTTTATAACAAATTTAAAGAGAAATGTGTCTATTAGTTTCGCTGTGTTTCACCGTACAAAATAAAACAAAATGTTTTCTCATCTTATGCCTTCTACCGAGTATGATTATGTCCACATACAAAAAATTCTAACGGAAAATAATTTAATTGAACTTAATTAACTGCATATAAAACTCTTTTAATACTAGAAGTGCTTCATTTAATTTGTGCTCCTATCCTAAATGTAATAAGAAAACATTTTACGATAATAAGAGAAAGATATGTAAATATAATAGTTAGCTAGCTAGCCAGTTAGTTTTGAAAAGAATTTTTTTTT